CTCAGGAGGCATGTGGAGGGGCGCTAGGGCTGTGGGTCTGGTGTTGGTTTCTCTTTTCAAATAGTAAATGCCTGTGTGTCTCCATGAATTTCTGGGTCTGGTTTCTTCTGTGTGARATSAAGGCTATTCTGGATTGTTTTGATAGCTCCTCAAGCAAAGATACTCTGTTCTGTTCTCTATGGCCAGGGAGGAGCCCTCTGCCCTAATGAGCTGACTCTACAGGGCAAGACAACTGATAAAAGAGGGGGCTTTCTCMATGGAAACTTCCCCCTCACCTTTGGGAAAACACCTCAAAGCATTTGTGTTTCCTAGAAGTTCCAGCCATGAATCTATGGTTTCCCTAAGGAATGGAATTTCTGATAATTTCAWGTACCATTTTTAAGTCATACAGAGATGCTGTTGAAATGATCAGTGCATGTATGCATGTGTGGGAATCATCACACTGAATCCTATGAATATGTAAAATCAATATATATTAATCAAAAATTAAAATAGACTGTATGTGGCACATGCCAGTAATCCCAGCTATTCAGGAAGCTGAGGCTACAGGATTCTAAATTAGAGGCCAGCCTGGGCAACTTGGCAAAATAAAAAAATTAATTTTTTTAATTTGGAAAGGTTAGGGATACAGTTCAGTGGCAGAGTCCTTGCATAGCATATGTGAGGTCCTGGGTTCAATCCTCAGTACCATAAAACAAATTAATTAGTAAATAATAACAATAAAAATGTTTTTGGAAGACTAGATATGTAACTCAGTGTAACAGCACCTGCCTACCATGAGAGAGGCCCTGCATTCAATCAATAAGTACCACAAATAAGTAAGTAATGAAATAATTATAAACATCCCAAGGGACTGGGGAGAAAAAGACCAAAACTTGGGAATTCAGAATGAGTCAGATTCTACTCTCTTTTCAAAGAAAGAGACAAGGAATAAACCCTATTCCCATTCCTTGAAGAAAGAAAAGATGTACGATTCCTGAGGGCGGAGAGAGGCTGAATTCTGAGAGTTGTGCATGTGAGTGGACAGAGTAAAAGGAATGAGAAAGCCAAACACACAGGTTCACAGAAGGAAGCTGCAGAAGCAGGTGAAGTCCTCCGCCAGAGTCAGGGGAAAGGTGGACGGAAGGATCCCCACAAAAAAAAAGGAGGAATGTTTTCTCTGATAGGTGGACCCTAACCCACAATAGAAGGAGGAGTGAAGGGAAGACTAGAAGAGAAGTAGACAAAGAGGAATTGAGGGAAGAGAGGGGAGATGAGCAAAGTAGACAGTGGAATGAATCTGACACAGTTTTCCCACGTACATGTGTGAAAACAACACAGTGAACCTCACCACCATGTACATCCTTAAGACTGGGATTCTAACTAGAGTAACATATACTCCATGCTTGCATAATCATAGCAAAGTGGATTCTGGTGTCATATATAATTGAAAAGAACCAAAAAATAAATAATTTTTTAAATGTTGGTCTCAAGGACCAGAGAGCACAAGTCCAGGCTGGACACTGCCCACCAGCTGGAATCTGTGATGAAATGCAGAGGCTGGAGGCCCCAAAGCCTCTCTGTGCACACATCCTTCCCACTGTCCATCCCACTGTCTATCCATGCACTCATTTATTTGTGCCCCCATCTTTCCATCCACTAGTTTTTCTACCACCCCTATATTCCACAAATACATTAGGTGCTTCTCAGGAGGCACGCTCTGTGCAGTAGGGACTGATTTCTGTTTCAAGATGGAGAAGACAAGAGGTTAGCAATTATCTAACATACTCCATGCAAGAATCAGCAGGACCACACAAACTTAATGGTGATGATTGAAATGAAATGGGAGAGTGAGAAATTTTACCCAGAAGGAGACAAATGATGGGTCCCTCTGAGCCTTTATTTTCTGTAATGTGAATACCAATCCTATGACAAACCAAGAAAAAAGGGTAGCCCAAATTAAATAAAAATCCTGAGATTGAAGACCAGGGGACATTCACACATTCCTTGTGTGGATTTACATGAAAAGCAAATGTGGGTGGGGATATAGTTCAGTTAATAGAGCACTTGCCTAGCATTTGCAAGGCCCTGGCTTTGATTCCTAACACCAAAAATATTTTAAGAAGAAAAATGAATCCAAATTTTCTTCCAAGGTCTGTGGCTATCTGACTTGAGAGAGTTGGGTAAGAACCAATCATCTTTTCTTCTCCACACGGAGGGGAGAAAAGGAATAAACTATATTAGTCAGCTCAGGTTGCCATAATAAAATACCACAGACTGAGTGGCTTAAATAAGAGAAATTTATTTTCTCATGGTTCTGGTATCTGGCTGTCCCAGATCAAGGCATTGGCAGGTTTGATTTAAGACCTCTCTTTGGCTTCCTGATAACTATCTTCCCACGAGTTATTTCCTCTGTGTACACATCCCTGGTGTCTCTATCTGCGTCCAAATTTCCTCTTCTTATAAAGACATCAATCAGATTGGAATGGATCTATCCTAACAGCCTCCTTTTACCTTAACCACCTTTTAAGGGCTTCCATCTGTAAATAGAGTCACTATTATGAAGTACTAGAGATTAAGGCTTCAACATATGAATTTTGGGCACATGCAATTCAGCCCATAGCACAGATAAATAGTTTTGAAAATAGGAACGAAACAATCACAAGACTTACACCTTTTATTGGACCCTAGGGGGAAGTTATGGCACATCTCTCTCAGAACAGAGCCAGAATATAATGGAAGACAAGTGTGAAAATGGAGGCTAGGTCTAGAAAATTCTTTAACCTCAATAACCCTTGGTCATCTCTAAGAGATGACCCCAGGATGTTCCTCTTGGTCTTGGAAAGCTGGTAGCCTACCATGCACACCTCAGAGAATGTAAGTTTATTAAACAATATCTTACCCACATCCTTCCTTAGCTGCAGTGAGGTAAGGTCTTCCCATTGTAACAAACATTTTATCAACCCCAAGGGGAGATAGGGAACCCCAACATGAAGGGTAGAGCTATCTCACCTGTCTTCTATTCAGCGGAGGGCTTGGCCTCCTACATGGAAGTCCAGCTGGCTGAGGTGATGGCAGGTCCTCACGGACAGATATGCAGCCTGTGTCTCCCCCTAAATGGATCTCCCCATGGAAAGCAAGAATGGGAGGGTCCACGGCTAATGCACACTCTGGTAGGGATGAAAGAAACAGGAATTCCCAGGATGTTGCATTACAGGTTCAGTGACATGATCCTCCACTGATCAAGGATTAAGGCTGGCTTCCTTGGTCCCCAGCTATTTGCCTGATTGCCATCTCCACAACTATGTTCCCAGGCTTTCTGGCTCTGGCCCTTCTGTCTATGCTGGGCGTGAGTACCCAGGCCTTTGATGATGACCTTGTCAAATGCTTTGAAGACCCCCAGTATGAAGAACTA